ATTCATTTTAGCTCAAAACTGCTAAATCGTAACACATTGTTACTTTAATATATGTATAAAGTATTACCTTTTGTAAAGCTGCTGTTTGCTTTAAAAAATTGTCATGTAAGTATTTTCTGTACATTGTGCCAACAGATTAGAACATTAATTCACTAAAAGCTCATTTTTTATTTGAGTATTTTTCTTTGGAATATTTTATTTCCAAACATCTTCCTTCTCCTGGGCCCCTTCAACCTTTGTACACATCATAGAATCAACCAACCAAACTGCCTAATCTAAAATCTGAATCCTGGTTAATGATAAAATTTAAACCTTGTTGGCACATCACACCTTAAGAGTATTTGTATTATTTTGTAATTTAATTTCTAAATATATACCCACCTAAATTTGTAATTTAATGTCTTAATTATAATGCTCTGATTAAAAATTAGCAAACTTAGTATGGATTGTAACATGAAGGGATTTTTCAAATCTGCTGTATGAAGGATAATGTTATCTCACATTCAGAGGTTAATAACAGCCTTTTGCACTATGTAAATACTAGTGGGTTCTTCTATATTAATAAAATGATTATTGGAATGTGTCTTATCATTTTGTGGTGACTGTTTGACATGCCCACCACGAAGGATGGATTTTAAAAGGCTTAGCTTGTGTTGCTTAGCACTCACACAGGTTTGTTAGGATACTATGTTGGGAGCTTTATCAGCTCCATCCAGGGTGGTCAGTGTGATTGCAGCATGGGCCTAGCTTTCTAGCTGTCCAGGTGTTGGCACCTCCTGTGGATTCCTGCTTTCCATGCAGTTGGGCCTCAGTGCTCACAGCAGCCCTGTGATACAGTCCTGGTAAAGTGATCCTGGAGAACCAAGTACCGTGTCAAGATCATGCAGTTGGCAAATGGCAGACCTGAAATTCAAACTTGGCCCCATGTTTTTAACCACTGCTTTGTTGGGTGTCTGCACAGGCCTTTGGGTTGCAGCACAGAACAGCTGCCCTGCACCTGAGGGGCCTTAGCTGACAGCTCTTTAGCGGCCCTGGGCTTTATCATAAAAACATGGGGAAACTGAAAAGGGTGTACTCATCTGCTAAAAGATGAAATACTGATGTCTAGTGAGAAAGGAAAGTGTCAAAAGGTGCTTAGTTCTGAGGCTGCACTCAACTCCAGAACCTGTCCACAGATACGGTTTCATTTTAGAAAATGTCACTTGGACCACATGCTGAGTGGTTAAGTCCTGTGAGGTTTCTGAGTCATCAGTTCAGTCAGTACTTTAAGTTGGGTTCTGAGGTACTGGCATGAGCTGACACCTGGCTGTTACACAAGGGGCGTCAATGGCAGCCTTGTTCCTGAATTTTAGCAAAGCACACTGCTAGAACTCCTACAGTGTGGGGCCTGAAGAGCTAGCTGATGTTTGTCCTAGTCCCACTGTCCATCCTGGTGTTCCTCCTCATCCCATACCTCCCATCTTGATGGTATTTGCCAATCATGGGGCCAGCAAAGAGACTATCTTTTTAAATATTTTTTACATAAATTTTACTATTTTTATTTTTTATGTGGATGCATGTATTTCCCGCATGTATGTAAGTGCCCCTGTGTCATGCAATGGCCGCAGAGGACAGAAGAGGTCATCAGATCCCCTGGAACTAGACTTAGAGTTGTTAGCCGCCATTGCCATGAGGGTGCTGGGATTTTAACTTGGGTCTTCTGCAAAAACAGTGTTCTTAATTGTTGAGCCATCTCTCCAGCCCCATATTTTTATTTTTTAAACTTTATTTTTTTTAATGTGTATGAGAGCTATGCCTGCATGTATGTAAGTACACCCATGTCATGAGTGCATCGGATCCCCTGGAATTGGAATTACAGGCGTGCGTTAGCCGCCATGTGGGTGATATGATTCAAACCTGGGTCTCCTGCAAGAGCAGCCAGTGCTCTTAACCACAGAGCCATCTCTCCATCCCCTAGTTATTTTTTATGTGTATGAGTATATCACCTTCATGTAATGTAAGTGCACCTGTTTCATGCAGTGCTCACGGAGGTCAGAAGAGGGTATCAAATTCCCTGGAACTGGAGTTAGGGACAGTTGTTAGCTTCCGTATGTGTGCTGGGAATCAAATCTGGGTCCTCTGCAAGAACAGTGCTCTTAACTGCTGAGCTGAGAGACTATTCTTGTAGAAATGGGTTGGGCATTTCTGTGGCTCTAACCTGGCTGATACTGTGTCCAAGGTTTCAGTCTGGAAGCAGAAGGTTGGTGCAAATGAGGATATGAAATTTGGAGCTCATGGCTCAGTGTGTTCTTTATCCAGCTGCTGAGGAACTAAACACTGGAATTATGCATTAGCAAGTTATGCTTTTAGAGGTTAGAATGGTTCAAGTTTCTGTGGAAGGGAGTACTTCGTCTCTTTGGAAGCACTCTTCCTAATAGTTAAGGTGTATCATTTAACTGATTGAATAATCTCAGGCTGCATCAGTCATTACTGTATTGTTGTACATGGTTTTATTAACACACAGCCATGCCCATTCATTTACATACTGGCTTGCTATGGGAGCAGAGCTGGGTGACTGTAACAGAGGCCATGTAACACGGCTCACAAAATCTAAAATACTTGTTCTTTGGCCACTTACAGAAAATGTCTGCCAACCTCTAAAATTAAGAATATACCCAGCACTTTCTAGTTGTGTGGGTTCTCCCTTTGATTATTTCAGTTCTGGAGATGATGCATCTGTTGTGGGTTTGCATATTTAAAAGCTCATTCAGCTTTGCCCAATGGTGTCCAGCATATGGACTCAGGAGGCATAGCTAGAGGCAGCCTGGATGGTTCACCCAGGCTGCAGGTTGTGTTGCTGCACTCTGTCATATCAGACAAGTCCCTTGAATCTGCCTTTGTTTTCTCCTCTAACAATGACTGACATATGCCAAAACTTGCTCTTCCCTAAGGAAACAGACCATTCTGACCATTCTTTGGCCATTGGGGACAATGAATTGGACCAGGATTGGGTGCTTTCCTAAGGCTATCTGCCAAAGACCAGTACTCTCAAGATGACTTGGTATCCAGAATGAGTCTTGTAATTAAGCTAACTGCTCTAATTCTCTCAAAAATTTGAACTGGAGGCACAGGCCACAGAAAGCAGGATGGAGCAGGTAGGCAGAGAGCAGGAAACCGCTTTCCCACAGCATGACCAATCCTGTGCCTTTGTTCAGCATTGCTTGCTTAATGTGCAGAACCTTTTATGTGCTCAAAACATTTAAAAAGAACCAAGAGGAACTAGCCAACCAAAAGAAAGCCATTTTCCATTCTGTAACAAAGTTCCCAAGCTCTGCACCAAGTCTGACCGAAACACATTGATAAAGACCAAGACAGAAAGGGAACCAGAAGCCAGGCTTAAGTTTCACCTTGACTGATTTAGCACACAGCTATTTATTAAATAAATAGTAACTACAAACTATCTTCTTCCTACAAACTAGAAGATGTTTGTCTTTATTCAGCTGGCCTAACTTCTCCCCAGTATTGAGAAATATGGGTCCCATCAAGGGCTCTTCCATGTGCTCCTGAGCTAGGGCAAGCCATTTTAATCTTCACAGAAAAACTGAACACTGTGTTAGCAACCCACTTACTTAGTTTCCTTGGCAACCAGGTGTGTGTGTGTGTGTGTGTGTGTGTGTGTGTGTGTGTGTGTGTGTGTACATGAGTATAGGCACAGGTATGCGTGTATGTGACGGCCCAGCTTTTACACGGGCTCTGGGGATCCAAACTCCAAACCTCATGCTTGCTTAGCCAGCACTTTATCAATGGTGCCATCTCCCCAAGCCCTAACATGATGGCAGTCTCTGTTCAAAACAAAGGGAATAAGCTTAATTGTGGTGCCTTGGGTCTGCCTCAGGCTGTCTTAAGAGTTTAAGGGTTCAAGGTTTTCAGGGCTGCAAACCACTAGAAGCCTGGCTACCTGGAATACAGTCCCCGCAAAAGCTCCAGATCTGTATACACAGCCAGCTTCCCCCTTGCCCGTCAGAGCAGCTCGTATCTCTAATCCGTGGTAACACTGATCAATCTATCTTTTTTAAAATCAGTATTTAAGGAATTTTCCATGCCTTTGTAACTTTCGCATCAAATTAGGTAAGTTCCATGAAACCCAAGCAAAAATTAAAATGATGAAGCCTCTTCAGACACTTAGAAAATATAAAGAAAAAGAATTTTTTTAAATTTATTGAATTTTGTATATTTCATTCAGATCATCTCAATCAATTTTAATAGCCTCTTCCCCATTGGCCCCCTCCCATTTGTGTTAAGGCCTATTGTGTCAAGTTAGTGTCCCCAGACGTTCCTCAGTGCAAGTTCATCTACTGAGGTCTAGTCAGCCTATCTAGAGTCCCTCACTTTAGGGAAGATCAGCTCTTCCTCACCCAGTAGTAATCAGTTGCCAGTATTTCTTCAACTAAGATTGGGGCCAGCAGTCCATTTCCCCAGTTCTGTGCTGGGTGTTTGTCTGCTTGAGTTTGCATGGGTCTTGTGAATGCTGACAGTGATTGCTGTAGGTACAAATGAACAGGGTCCCAGGAGCTTGTAGGACTCTATTTCCATATGGTCATGAACCTCCTCCCGGGTTCTTACAATCTTTCTGCCCCCTCTTCCGCAATGGTCCCTGAGCCCTGGGTGAGTGAAGTTTAATATGGGAGTCCTGTCCGAGGACC